GCAGATGATCTCGTTTATCGTATGAATTATATGATGACAGAACAGTGTGCTGTGTGTACTCAACCCAGGATGGGAGAACTTGAAGGCCAAGATCACCATCATGTTGGAAGGTTCTTGCACTGTTGGTAAATACTGCCACAAGCTTTCTATGTGTGCTTACGATGCCTCAGCTTATCCCAACTCCACTGGTGGTATTGAATATGCATGGGAGTTGCTCAACGAGTTGAAGGCCCGTACGGTTTCTGATGGTATTCTCACACGAGAGCAGTTCGATTTCCTCTTCGACATCCACGGTTCGTTGTTTGCTATTCATGACTGGGAATGGGTTAGGTGTTATTATAGCGATAACTTTTCTCGCGAGATGGGTTATTCTAATTGTCTTCATGAATACCACACCTCCGCGAACAAGTGCCGAACAGAATGAACTGTTCATCATATAACAAAACGCAAGAGGCCTCACATAAGTGCCTTGACACGATCGATTTTTTTCTGAATTTTAGAAAATGATCTTCTCTTTTCACTAAGCAGACTTCTCGCTCTTGATTGTCGTTTCCCATGATGAGCTCCCTTGCTCTTTTGGGAGTCATTTTCTGTAATTGGTTATACTGTCGGGTTACCTGTTGAAGGAAAGTCCAGGAAACAGTGGCATTCTTTCGGGGGTATCGGTTCCAAGTTAGTAGAAAACCTGAATTCTGTGCAAATCTCGAACGAGGAACTAATTGAGACAATTTATGTGGGTGAAGGGGGTTGGTGTGGTATCCATACGGTTTTATCACCGATGAATCGTAAGCTCTCGTTATGACATCATTTGGACCATCCGTTTCGTGTGAGACATCCGGGTTACAGCCTGGAAATTCGAATCGGAAATGTGTTTATGCGAACCAGGGAAATTATCAGGCATGCCCAAATGTAACGGCTTGTTCTATTATTAGAATATGTTGGTATATATTATTGATAAAATACACTAGATAGATTTATATATTATTCTTATCTCCATAGATTTATATATTACTTTCATCCCTCCCTTAGTGTTACATTATTAGTATATACTTGATAGCCACGCGAGGTCTCTCTTTGAAAGAGCCGCTGTCGTCAATTCCTGTCATTAATATTACTTTTCCTGGTCAATAATGACCATGAGTCTATACTTTTTGCGTGAACCCAGTAACTCTGGTGTCAGAATCACTCGGGGCTAACCTCTATACATTGGGATGTTTTGTATCCGTTGCACTTATGAAAGAGACTATTATTAGCATTAGGATTCAACAGGTAGCAATGACCACCCCGAATGTATGTCCTGTATTTAGCTCGCGTGGCTTCCTCCGCACAGCTTAGCGATCCTCGTGCTCCTCGATGAGTGTTTTGGAGTCATTTGGCCCCTCACCCGAAAAGATCCATCTCAATCATAGCGGAGAGAATATACTCCATTGATAATGACGTATTATCTCATCAAACCTGTAGTGGCGATCTCCTGCAGGCCGACCAGCGTAGCTTTTACATTTTGTGTCGAGCTGTCCCCGACCCGTTTCCTTAAATGTTGGGGCTCGTCGTACATGACGTACGTGAATGAACAATGTATTCATTGATGCATGTAATCTACAACGTCGGATCTGCGGATGTTTAAGCCAGCGCGCTGTCGCTTTGAATAGTCTCTGGCTAATTATCATCAAGTTCCCTCAGGTGCGGTATCACGGTCGATTTCCGTTGTCACAGCCTTAGCTCTGGAGATTGTGTTTTTCCCCCTATGACTTCCTCAGTCTTCTCACGCTCTACCACATTTTTGGCTCTGTTGACTCTCATCACATTTGGCGAAGTTAGAGCGACGGATTGCTCGCAGGGTGATGCCTTCTGTGCATCTTTGCTCACTGGTTCGTACTGCAAATACTGGAATAGTCCTCAACTTTGTCTTGGCACGAGGACTCCCTGTTCGTGCAGCACTACGTCGGTCACAACTGATCCTATGTCGACAACCACATATTCTGCTCGCCCAAAAGCTACGACAGCAACTGCGGTGACTACGTCACGTGAGACGACTACCACTTATGAGAAGCCTTCCTCACGAAGTAACCTCAGAACCACGAAGCGTCCCACGACGACACCGTCGAACAACGAGGTCATCACTAAGACCACATCACCCTCTGTAGTCGGTGGTATGCGGTTTGGTACTTACTCGTGGTCTCAAATGTACTGGCGAGGCGACGATACTTCTCTGATTGATTTCGCGGGGTCCGATATGGGAAGATTGTGGAACTCTGGTGATGTTTATGTGAATATCGCTGACTACAGTAATTATAAGAAGATTGACGATGAGGAGCTACTGGTTGCTTGGATGAAACAATGGCGAAGATCTACTGGCAACACTGGGCGTATTTTTCTCACTTATGGTGATGCCTCCAAGCACTACAACAAAAGGATGATCGAATTTGTTAACACCTTTGAGAATTTCCTCGACAATTACGTTAGTAGTGAAGACATGAACGAGATCGCACCAATTGGTTTGAGTTTTGATGCTGAAGGAATGAGAAGCAGCTCCGTGCGGACGACGTTGGAAAATGCCCAGAAGATGAAGACTAGAGTGTCCAAGAGCAAGGGATATGCACCTGGCTCGCTGTTGATCGATTTTGCTGTGTCCGGCCATTTGAGCCCTCTGTCTACCCAGTATATCATGGAGCTTGCTGACCATGCCACTTTCGAGGTATTCCGCAACACTGTTGGTGGTGAAGACAACGACGGTTTGGTTGAACGTATGAAGTGGATGCTCACTGAACAGTGTACGGTGTGTACACAGCCTGGTTGGGAGAATCTTAGAGCTAAGGTGACGATCCTTACGGAAGGGTCGTGCAATAAGGTTGACTACTGTGGGAAGGTCTCCATGTGCGCTTTCGATGCGATGGAGTATCCGAGTGCTAGTGGTGGTATCCAATATGTTTGGAACGCCATGAACCTTCTGGTGGAACGTATGATTTCTGATAGTATTGTTACTACTGACCAGTTCAACTCCCTGTTTGATGTTCATGGTACATTATTTGCTATGAACAATTGGGAATGGACACGTTGCTACTATGGTGACTCTTTTTCGAGGGAGATGGACTTCCAGAACTGTCTTCAGTATCATGAGGAAGCATTAAAGTGTCGTGCTGATTGATACTTCACGTCATTTTCCCTTCGAGCTTCTCCTACGATTCTGTTGCTATTTCGAGTTTATGGCGAGTTCCATCGCGGTTCTCCTTTCCTTGCTAGCACCAGTAAGTTGAGTTATAGTACTAGTCGGAAAGCCGATAATCGTGGAGACGGAACTAACTCGATTCTTTGAGTAGGGAAAAGAAGAAATAGACTCGGAAGAGCTGCTCCGTATGGTCAAGTCTTCCATAGAGTCATTTGTGATCCCTTCCCTCAGTCGAGCTCGAGGGTTAACATTTCTCGGGGAAAAATACATGAAGAATAAATTTTGTACATTTTTCAACATGAATTCGGGTGAGAGCGTGCAGAAACCGAGGAGAGTTCCCCAAAATGTCGCTAGGATTTCCATAGTCTCATCCACACATGTAGTTGTCTATGTGCATATTTTCCGACACTGCTTCCCTCGAGGTAGGATTGAATTCCAACTGATGGTTGCTAACCCGCATATCCGACCGTTTTCTTCCCTCAAAGTCCCTTGAACACACATGATAAAATGAGATCGCTGACGCATCATGAATCTGCATGTACTTCTCTTAAACGAATACTCGAAGAAAGAGCACATAGGCTGCGTTTCGGTATAATCTGGGACTTCATTGAGTTGTTGTTGAAGTCGAGGCCTTGCCTGGGTAGAGCCTAACCATTTACGAACTGATGGCGAATGATGTATTGATACTGCTAGGCACTTTGGAGAGAATAAATGTGATGAGGAATTTTTGGTCGAGTGGTAGAGCGGTAACCCGAATTAGATGGTGCAGGATGCCGGTACGAATCTCCATCACAAAATTTTTCGTGTATTTTCCTCGTCCCCCAGTGTGCTTTTAAACTGCTCATCATCATATATTTGTCCCGATGTAGTCCAATTGACCCCGCAACCATTCAATAACAAAATAAAGGTCTTCGCTTACTATATAACTTTACTATCGAATCTTCACAAATTCATGTACATTTCCGGCCGATTTCACATTCCTCACGTTCGTCCTATTTCCCCTAGTCATGCTCTATGGCCTTGCTTTCTCCCCAGGGCCGTCTGCTGTCTCTGGAGTCCCCTCGAGTGGTGACCAAACCAAAGGATTATCGTTTAAAAAAGACTTCAACCCTTCCGGAAATGGTTATGTTTCCACCGTTGTGATTCCGGCCTTTCTTGCCAAGTTGGATAAGAACCTTCCAGTCGTATTACTGTCAACATTATCAGAATCTCTATTTCCGAGCTCAGGTTAAAAGAAAAGAAATTATTGATGCTTACGCGAGCATGAAAAACACTAGTAAAAAACATATTTCCCGACTACTGCATATCACCGCGAATATCGCGGTTTTCACAGAGTATTACGCCACTTCACGTAAAACGGGTTGTGAAACTCCAGTATACGCCGACCGGGAGTAATGTCATGACGGCTCCTCGTTAGGAACGGTTGAAGCAAACCTCTAATAACGGACTCCGTTAAACGGAGGCGTGGCCCACGCCGCGTGGGAACAATTAATGGATGGAGAAATACCGTAATCGGGGATCGAACCCGGGCGCTTCTGGCACAATATAGCGAAATGTGTAGAATCGATCAGACTGTCGCAGCCTTCAGATTGGCAATCCCACAAGGCACCGTCCTACACCACCATGTCTCATAGGAAGTTTGAGGTCCCCCGTCACGGGTCATTGGGTTTCTTGCCTCGCAAGCGTACCCGCCATCATAAGGGTAAGGTAAAGTCGTTCCCCAAGGATGACCAGTCCAAGCCCTGCCACCTTACTGCCTTCATGGGCTACAAGGCCGGCATGACCCATATCGTCCGTGATGTCGATAAGCCGGGTTCTAAGCTTCATAGGAAGGAGGTTGTTGAGGCCGTCACTGTCTTGGAAGCTCCTCCTATGGTCTGTGTTGGTTTCGTTGGTTACGTCGAGACCCCCAACGGTCTTCGTGCTCTCACCACTGTGTGGGCAAAGCACTTGTCCGATGAGGTCCGTCGTCGTTTCTATAAGAACTGGTATCACTCCAAGAAGAAGGCCTTCAGCAAGTACCAGGAGAAGGACCATGACGCTGAGGTTCAGCGGTGTAAGAAGTACTGCCAGGTTGTGCGTGCCATCATGCACACCCAGGTCAGCAAGGTGAAGCTCACTCAGAAGAAGGCCCACATTGTCGAGGTCCAGGTCAACGGTGGCTCTGTATCTGACAAGGTTGATTTCTGCCAGTCTCTGTTCGAGAAGGAGGTACCAATTTCCTCTGTCTTCGATAAGGACGAGATGGTTGATATCATTGGTGTGACTAAGGGTCACGGTAACACTAGTGTCACCACTCGATGGGGTGTCACTCGTCTTGCCCGTAAGACCCATCGTGGTCTCCGCAAGGTCGCCTGTATTGGTGCCTGGCATCCGGCCCGAGTCCAGTTCCAGGTCCCTAGAGCTGGTCAGATGGGTTATCATCACCGTGTTGAGATCAACAAGAAGATCTACCGCATCGGCAAGGCCCTTCGTGAGGATCCTAACAACGCTGCTGGCTCCAACGATCTCACCCAGAAGGCTATCACTCCCATGGGTGGCTTCCCCCACTACGGTGAGGTCAATGAGGACTGGGTTATGCTCAAGGGTACTGTTACTGGTCCTAAGAAGCGTGTCATCACTCTTCGTAAGAGCCTTCTACCCCAGACTAGCCGTAACGCTTTGGAGAAGATCGATCTCAAGTTCATCGATACCTCCTCTAAGTATGGTCATGGTAGATTCCAGACTGCTGATGAGAAGAGGAAGTACTATGGTCGCGAGGCTGAGACTACCCAGGCCTAAACAACCTACCAGTGTTGAAGTGTATTTGGAGGTCACCTTTCTAGGGGTGTGGGATTACGCAGACTGTTGTGTTCATTAATAGCAAATGTGAAACGGTGGAGTTTTTGAGTTATGTTCTTTCGGAGTTTTTGGCTGATGTATGATCATGTGGTTTCATTTGTGGGGAAAGTGTCACAAACTGCCAAGAATGAATTTTATGGATGAAAACAAAATAACATAAATGATGTTTTTTAGAGAAAAAAATTTTGTTCGAGTCGAACTATCCGGATGGTTTCTGTTGTTTCCAAGTCAAATGGTTACATATAGATGATCACTCAAGTGTAATTATGTCATGTCGCAATTGGGAAGTGTTTCTCGTAGTTGTAGCTTCCGAGTGATGTTACTTTCTGTCGAGTCTGTTCTGTCCATTAAAAGTCTGGGCGTGTGGGCCCAGACGGGAGTTGTGTTGGGGAGTTTGGGGGGAGGCTTCATGCCTAGAAGTGTAGCATTGGGAAACTGCTTCTGACCTTTATCTTTCGTATTCGCTATTTCTAGTACATCTTGATATTCCTCGGATGGTACGGTAGTAGGATGATGGTCAACTGTGATGAGATTAAGACATCGGTTATTCGCTCGCGTCGGAACACTTTTGAAGTGGCGAGTTGTAGATGTTAAAGTTGGCCATTTGTAACATCAAATTGTTTTAGTAGCAGGTCATAATGCGAATCGCAGATTAGCATGTTTACATTGACTGAGGTGTATGTCGGGATTAGCTATTCCTGGGGCTCTAGAAGTGTTCCCAGTGTGGTAGATCGCAAGTGACGGTGGAATCGGATGATAAGTTTCACTACAGTTTATGAACAGTAATACTTTACTGATACTTCGCAGATTCTACCTGACTCGATGGGCAAATTCTCCAAATCGTTTACTAGTGTCGTTGTTTGTTTGTTTATTTTATGGTTTTATCAATGGCTGATAGTAGAAATTCTCCGACTTGGTTAAACTGAATCGAAAGCGGACGTTAGAATTATTATACAGAAGTCGTCAGGCTAACTCAACACTAGATCACGGTGATGATCCAACTTCAATATACTACTCATATATTGCTAAGCTAGGCCAGGATACGAATGGCACGATAGGGACAGATATGCTTTGTGTGCTAGGATACTTATCCTACAACTATTCCCACTCTTTTCCTGAGACGGATCCTCAAGACATATATCCGCATCGTGTGGCGTCACCTTCGGAAATGAAAAACGCTAAACAAAGGGGACAATTTCGCTAATGTTGATTTGTCTGTGACGACGTTGGGCGAGAAAATGAGTGTTTTGAATCTCTCCACGGCGGGTGCGGCGTCGACTGCAGTCCCGGGGTGCGGGGCAGGGGTATGGGGCGGGTAACCCGGTATTTGACAGCAGGCAGCGGGAAAATAGCGAAAATTACCCGCCCGCCCGCTGCTTTGCGGACAGCGGGCCTCATGGGAATTCATACGGGGAGTGAAAGAAAAGCAGTGGAAAGTTGGGGAAAAATTTCTAAGAATTTCCTCATCATCATCAATACTGAGAAATTAGGTGTGTAGGAATAAATCAGCTACCGGGAGAGAGCCGTTGGGTGATTCGAATGGTCGGTACAGCGGCTAAAGGCATCTTGGCAATCAACGAGAATACTGACCGGCACCGACCAAAGCAACAGTGGCACCCCGCCATCAGGTCAGGGGCCAGGCTTGGTTTTTTATCATACGATCAGTTCTCGTTGGTGAGAGTGTTAGCGTGGATGATGACGAGGTTAAGCCGAAGGGAGTGTCGGGTTCGAATCCTGGTGTGGTCATTTCGAACGCACATTATTACCATACGTTTCCACACTACATCACTACAGTGTAAAGAAGTGTTAATTGTCATACTACCACGTCGTCGGGGTGACGAACTCGGCATTCATCCATCTCCCGCCACTGGTCACAAGTAGCGATAGTCCAACAAGCATGAGCCGCGGAATAATCGATGATGATCAACACTCCTTACAGAGGGCAGACGCCCATACTATAGGCACCGCTACGGCCATTGGGTCCAAAGAGAGTTTATACTCCTCTTCTTGGTAACATTCTATATACGATGAAGGTGCAAGATGGTCTACCACCCAACTTGGAAGTTGACTTTATGCTTTTCCAATATCGTCTTGACCATCTAATCGCATGGGAATGATCGAACACTATTTCCTACGAGTGCAGTCAAGTTCACCACGGAATTGTAGTATGATTAGTATATCTAGGGTCAATGATCATTGCGGCCGCTGTCAATGTGATGTTGGAATTCACCTTTCCGAGACTTTTGAATATGCTCATTATTCGTCGTGCAGTTTATGTGTCGAGTGAGTGCTTCAATCTCGGAAGTTCTAACTCAACCAATTGGTCATTCCTTTCCAATGCTACTTCTTCTCCTCTCAGTGGTGTTCCTAGTCGTCTTGAAGGCCGAGATTGCTGATGACCGCACCATAGTGTCCATCAGTACGACAACTTCGTCATCATCATCGATAGCATCACTGCAGTCGACTTCACCGTTTGTTGACATTCGCTCTATTCCTGATATGTTGGCTGGTCGCCTTGGCCCTAGACGGTTAACCTCATCTGAGGAGTCCGTGATGAACTGCCTTTCCAACGAGGTTGCCGTGGAGACTATGCTCGTAGTGGGCGTGCAGATCGTTCATACGGCCTCGAGGAACTGTGGTGCTACTCGACAACAACTTTGTCAGTATTTGACGTATGCCGCGGAGACTTTGAATATGGAAGTGCTGTGTGAGCCCAACTATGTGGTGGCACTTGAACGCACTACTCCTATGACCATCGATGGTCTGCGGACCTCTCTCACTGGCTTGAGCGATGTGAATGACAAGTTTGCCTCGAAGCAATGGAATTTAGAGTTAATCGGCATGGATGAGGCGTGGAAGGCGATTGAGGAGCGTACACTTCGAGAGGTCGTTGTTGCGGTCATTGATTCGGGTGTTGACTACCGACATGAAGATCTCTATGGGAACATCTTCAATGACGATGGTTGCTCTCATGGTTATAACTTTTATGATGATAACACTGAGGTTAATGATGTGAATGGTCACGGCACGCACTGTGCTGGTATATTGGGTGCCGAGAGTGACAACCGTATTGGAGTAGCAGGCATCGCTGAAGTGAAGATCATGCCCTTGAGAGTCTTTGGTCCAGATGGTGTTGGGGATGTTCGGCTAGCTCTCAAGGCATTGAACTATGCCGTGGAGAACGGTGCTGATCTGTCGTCGCATTCGTATGGGAGCTCAGATTTCAGTGCGACATTTCGAGTGGCGATATCGAGAGCCGCTGAGAAGGGCCATCTGGTCGTTGCTGCTGCTGGAAATGAAGGTCGCGACATGAGCGTTGATAAAGTGTATCCTTGCGCCTTCACTGAGCAGATCGATATGTTATGTGTGGCCTCTAGTGGCAAGGGGTCGAATGATCGACTCGCTCCTCATAGTAACTATGCCGCCTTTGTTGATATCGCAGCTCCTGGAGAGGAAATACCATCGACTTACCCGAACAATGAGTACGTTTACATGACTGGTACCTCAATGGCCACTCCACACGTCACTGGTGTTGCGGCACTTCTGTACGCCTTGGGTCTTTCTAGAGAGGATGTGAGTAATTCTATTCTGGCATCCACTGATGTTCTCACTACTGGTCT